AAAGACTGAAAATGCCCTTGTTTTTAAGAATAGAGAGTAGGACTTTCATGTAGAACCACTTAGAAAAACTGTTTGGTAATATCTACTTATCTAAAGCCCACGCATTACCTTTTAACACAGCAATTACCCTCCTAGGAATATACCTGAGAGAAAAGAATGCATGTTCACCAAAGATGTGTACAGGGCTTTATTTATAAGAGTAAGGAATTAGAAGCAATTCAAAATACTCCATCAGTTCATTGGATACAGACATTGCACATTCATAAAAGGAAATGTTGCAATGCAAATAAATTAGCTATTGCCACAACTAGCAAAGTGGGTGAATTTCACAAACCTAATAGTAAATGGAAGAAGTCAGACACAAAAGAGAAACTGGAATTTCATTTATGTAACATTAAAAACAATAAACTCAGCCCAGCCTACCCTGTGGTGTTAGAAGTCTGCAGAGTGGTAGGATCGCTGGAGGGTGCCTGAGGATTCCCCTCTCCTAAGCAGGGGTTAAACCAGGGTGTTGGTTTACTTTGTAAAAATGCATCTGACTGCATGGTGCTATTTATGCACATTTCAGCATAAATGGTATATTTTAGTAGAGAGACTTTTTTTAAACAAAAGACAAAAAGTTGGGGAAATAAACATAGGGAATTAATTTGTGTTAGGAGATGACACTAGTTGCAAGCTCCGATGGATCCCAGAAGGTTTTAGACAATTTGCAAATTATCTTAATGGCTTAATGGCTTCTGAGAGACTGGGGACACCAAGCATTTAAAAAGACATCTTTCTCCTTTGAATGGCTCCAGGGATCTCCTATCTGAAAGATACAGCACACCAAACTTTGTGCAGGTCTAATTCCGGCTCCTGTCACCCTGTCCTTCACTTCTAGCTGGGTATTCAATAGAGAGAAACTTCTACCCTCATCTTTCCAGAGAAAAGCCAGGGCAAAGTGAAGTTACTCGAGAGTTGCCTAAAATTCTTTGAAAGTACCTGTCACAGGATTTACGTTCCACTGAGCCCCACCACTGCAATCCACTCCATTCACAGTTAAGAACCACCATAGACATTCTTAATCTACAATCTAGACCTTATCATTTAGGTCCCACCTGCCACCTCTTATGATTTCTGATGATAGAAGGGTCACAAGACGAGTGTCACTACCTCCAACTCACCTTGTTCAAATGGAACCATCAGGATGAAACCAGAGGCCATTTAAAAATCTTCAATATGCTTCCACTGTGCTTGTAAATGCTGAAAACCATGCCTTCCTTGAGACTGGTGATGTTCCCAACAGAGATTTTGCTCAAATGGAGGCAGCTTCTGTGGTAGAGTTATGTGCAATATCTTACATGGCTGAAACATCTAGAAGCTGCAGAGCTCTGTCCTGTTACTTTGGAAGCTATGGAAGAGAAAATCTGCCAAAGGTACATTGCAAGTGCTTTACTGTTCAGGTAAGAACAAGACAGTGGGATTGTTTGCTCTTGGGAGTATTCCATAGTGGGAGGAGAGCTTTACAATGTACTTACTTTTTCTGCTGGTGTGTGCAGATATCATCCATCATCATAGTACAGGAAGAAGAGAGGGAGAAAGATTGATTCTTGACAGAGCAGCCACCATCATCCTTCATAGAGGAAGACATATCAAGCCACCCCTCCTCTTCAGACCTGCCAATGACTGCCCTTTCCTTCAGAGTAAACTCTGGAGTCTTCACAGGGATCCTTGTTCCCACTTGACATTGCCTGTCCTAGCTCACTGATGTCATCTCCCACTACTTCCACCTTCCCTGTTTACGGGGCTTTGCCCACTCTGGTTTCTTGCAGCCCCTCATGCACTGTGGATGCACCCTCAGGTGCAGTCTCTGCATAGTCCGACCCCTGTGCTAGGGCACCCCAATCTTGCATGCTAACTCAACCCTTGAAATCTGTGTCTAAATGCTACCACTTCTCTGACCATTCAGCTGCCACTCTTCTAACCTCCTTTATCCTCACCTACTTTCTTTATTCCACACTGCTTTCATGCAACAGATCATATGGTTTTCTTGTTTCCTTCTTTCATGTTTATCAACTGTTTCTGCACTAGAATGTCAGCTGTACCAGGTCAAGGGGCTTCATGATGGTGCTGTTGGTTCACTGATATATCTGAAGTACACATGTAGTAAGTCTATCTGGCACATAGTAAGTGTTATGGTTTCAATTTAAAATGTCCCCCAAATGTTCATGCATTCAGAGGTGGGGCCTAGATAGGTGACTGGATCATGAGAACACAAACCTCATCAATGGGTTAATCCATTGATCAGTCATAGTTCAGTGGACCCGTAGAAGATAGGGCCTGGCTGGAGACAGTAGGTGACTGGGATGCTTCAAAGAGTACATCTTGCTCCTGGCTCCTTTAACTCTGTCTCAAGCTCTTTCTCCCTGCTTCTCAGCTACTGTTGTATAAACAGCTCTACTCCACCCTGCCCTCCCTCTAGTGATGTTTTACCCCATCTTGGGCTCGGAAACAACAGAGCCACCCGACCACGGACTGACACCTCTGAAACCATGAACCAAAGTAAATCTCTCCTCCTTTAAACCAACATTCTCAAGCACTGTGACTGTGTCACGGCAATGGAAAGCCAACTAACATAGTAGGAACTCAACAAACATTTGTTGAATGCTGAATGTTAAGAGTCTAGAATTTCTTGGGCTTAGTGTGTGCAGTTACTCTTCTAACTGCTTTATAAACACACAAGTAGCACTAAGCTATGTGATCAGTGCTGAGAAGGCTAATGCAAAACGGCCTTACTTGTCCTGCAGATGTGGAGATTGGGAAGATACAGGTATCATCTTGAAACCAGGGAAATGTATACAAAGGCAGGCTGCAGGGTTAAGCCTGCCTGAGAATTGAATGGCACCAGGTAAACAGCACCAATACATGGCTATGCTTGTCCTGCCCCTATACTTGTCTGAAGCCCCAAGCTGCTTGCTTCTGTATTCCAGCGTGCTCTTTGCAGAATAGCTGTCCCCGGTGTTGTTCAGAGGGTCTGAGCATATGTTCCCTTCTGCTGGTTTTCTTCTTTTTTTCTCCCTCTCTCCCTTTATCTCTTTTTTCCTTTCTCCCTTCCTTCCCTCCTTCTCTCCCTTCCCTCCCTTCCTTTACTACCTTCTTTTCTTCCCTCCTTCCTTCCCTCCCTTCCTTCCCTTTTCTTCCTTTCTTTCTTCTTTCCTTCCTTCCCTGTCTCCTTCCTTCATGTGTCCTTCTTTTTCCCCTCCTTCCCTCCATCTTTCCTTCTCTTTCTTTCTCCTCCCTTCTTTCTTTCCTTCCTTCCCTCCCTAATTGAATGGGTGATTATGACATGGCAGAAACTATTCTACATTTGAATACATTGTTCTGTTTTATTTTTACAATAACCATATTAAGTAGAAATGTTTAATATTCTCATTTTTTATGTATGAAGATATAGACTAGGATATTTGCACAAGGTCATTCAATTGCTCAGTGGTAGGGCCGGGTTTCAGAGCTGGGCCACAGCTCCAGCCCATGTACTCTTAATCACCAGCTCATACTGCACTCCTTACACAACACCGGGGTATGTGCTGGGTGGATCAGAGTTGATAGGAAAAGAATGGGCGGCCACCACATCAGGCACACATAGATGCAGGTAGTAATGGAAAGGGAGACTACGAAGTGATGAGAACAAAGCTTGGGATGCTGGCCAGTCTGGATTGAACTCTGCCTCTTCCTGTGCACACATGGCGCATATTAATGAACCTCCTTGAGCTCTTCAATTCTCATCTGTAGGGTGCAGATCACAGTCCCTGTCTCTAAGTGACATTGCCTGGTTTAATCTGGAAAATGTATACAAAGCATCACCCCATTATATGGCACATAAGTTAAAGCCACTATGGTAATAGTATAGTATGTATAATTACTATTAATATTATGAATATTGTTCTCGGTATTAGTCACCCTTAGAGTTATCAGTTCCCACAGCAGAAGTCTGGCAGACAGACAGCAGAGGGTGTTTCCTCCTTTGTGACTTTAGTTAACAGCCTCCATTCCAGCCTCACCTGTGGCACTGAAGTTTGTTCATACACTACAAAAAAGTATGTTCATACATACTCTGCAAGTATGCCAGTGGAATTTTGTCAGCCTTAGACGCGGCAAAATATGATGTGCAGCTTTCAGGATGTGACTGTTGTTAAAGAGATGCTCTCAGATGTATGCCCATGCCCTGGTGAGGGTGGGAGTCCACTCTCCCTCCCGGCGATCTCAAGCAGACAGTTCTAGAATTAGGCAATCTGGCTACTACTGAGGTTGTGCCACGGGACACGAACCTCCTCGAGCAGGGGATGTTGCACAAATAGGAAACACCTGCCAGTGTCAGATTAATGCAGCCGCAGAAAGTAGAATCTGAGTACATATATTCTCCAAATGGAGGGATTTTTACTTTCTTTTTTCTCCAGAGAGAAGTGGAATATTTTGGTGCAGCACAGACGACGGAGAGAGTATCTTCTAAATACACTGGTTTTCTGCATGTCAGTTTAATTGTTTGTTGTAAATCACTTTGAGAGTAGGGAACAATAGTTCCAAAGAAGCTTTCCTAAACTGGGCACAGCGACACCCACCTGTCATCGCAGCTCACTGGGAAGCTGAAGCAGGAGGATCACAAATTCCCACCCAGCCTGGGCAACTTATTGATTTAGGGAGACCCTGTCTCAAATAAAAAATTTAAAAAGGGCTTGGGATGTACCTTAGTGCAAAGGTCCTGGGTTCAATTCCCAGTACTAGTTTAAGAAAGATAAAAAAGGCGTCCCTGTCTTTCTTGAGCCCCCAGGAAGTCTGATAGCTGGGGAGGTTCACAGCTTTCTCCTTTCTTCTTCACCTCCCGTAACTGGTCTGCGGTATTCATGTTTACCAAAAAGCATTACGTTCGGCAGTAGTGCAAACCAAGGCCGTCTGAAGTTACAACACTTTGCCAGTTTCCGTTTTCTTCACAGCATTCCTTTCCGTTTCTGCTTTTTCTTAAGAAAAAAAAAAAAAAAAAAAAATCCTGACTTAAGAAAACTTGATCTGTTTGGAACAGCCCAGCCCAAGGATTCTTTCCTGTGCTCCTGGGCTGAAGGCTGAGGGAAGCGGGAGGGTTCAGAGGTTCCCAGTGCGGTCAGGGTGAATGGGGCTTTCTCCGCGGGGGACATTCAATAAGTCTCTCAGCCTTTATGCCGGAGGACAGGGGCTCATTTGCTCGATTTGGGGTGACAGCAGCCGGTTTTGTTGCAGCATAGCTGGAGTTTTAAAATAAGCGCAGCTCTCAGAGCCCGAGAGCAGCATTCGTTATCTTAGCCATGGGAGGCCGTGGAAATCGGAGGGGTTTTGGCAAGGGCAGCGCAAATCCAGTGTGTGAGAGGGGCCGAGCCAGCCAGGGAGGAAGGAATGCGCAGCTTCCCTTTGACGGTGAGATTTCCTGCCTCTTGTCGGAGAGGCTGTCTAATGCACAAGCAAAGCCTGCATCAATTACTTGAAAGGAAACCAACCCGATTCCTGAAGGTTTGGCAGCAGAAACGTTCATTGTTGAGAAAGGGGAAGGAGAAGAAGGAGGAGAAAACGGGGAAAAAAGGCTAATGAACTCCCCTCTCTTCGGTATTTTCAAAGGCCTCTTGTGTCGGTGGCTGCTTCTCTGTTTTTACGGAGCTCTTAGGAACTCTCATTAGCCCCTCAATAAATGGTACTTTAAGGGCTTGTAACTTTGTCATTAAATCTTCACTCCAAGATGAATTAAGGTTGCAGCCAAGAAAAGCCCTCCCCACTCCCCAACCAGCTTCTTTACAATTACCAAAAAGGCAGGAAAATAGATTTGCGGGGGGATTTTTTTAGTACTCGTTTACGTGCCTTCCTGTCAAGTAGTGATTAATTCAGGGCCACTTAAGTTTTTCTAGCTTTCATCCATAATGGGCACGTTGACATTTTTATTTGAATCTCTTTACGCCATCCAAAATAATCTCCTTCAGCAACAGAAACTGCTGCTTAATTGCCACGGAGCAGCTGTTACCTCTTCTCAGTCGACAGCCCCTTTCACGATGGTTTGGAGCTCGGTGCCTGTGGAAGGCGACAGCGTGTCAGGTGGATTGATTGAACACCCCCGTTCCCGACTAGCTGCGCCTACACTGGTATCGGGACCGGACAAAGCCCCTCGCTTCGAAATATGGCATTTTTCTTTGGCCCCGGGCCCTGTCTTGTTTTTCCATTCTTCCATGCTCCCAAACAAAGGCAAGAGAGCCTCACTCTAACGTGATGTACTTTTACCCCGATTTGCATCTTCTATGGGTCAGACTGGTCCTGGACATAGGAGTTCATGCACAATTAATCTGATTTTCTGGTTAATTGAAGGCTAACCAGAAACATTCACTGTAGTTACAGAGGCTTCAGAGAGAGACACCTCATGAGCAGCAGGATCCTGGAGCAGAAAGAGAAAGAGAGGTCGGAATGCAGTGAGAGATCTGGCCAACTCCCCCATTTTCTGTACAGCCCATTCCATGTGTGAATGACACTTGTTCTTGGGTGCTTCCGGTTATTAGCAGATCGAAGGATCTTTTAGAACTGGTTTCCTTGATGATGGGGGAGCTGACAGGGCATGAGGATATCACATTGGCTGTTATCCTGTAGAAGTGGAGGCCCCAGAAATGGAGTAAGATGGAATCAATCTTATATGAAACCTCTGTGACCATTACAGACTCTCCAAAATTGTCTTCTTATAATCTGTTCCTGTCCTCTGGTGGGCTGAGCAAAATCATTCCAGGTACTTGGGATTTAATTAGATAAATTTGCTCCTAGCAATTAAATTTTTCTTTATTGCACTTCAAAGATAGCTTTTGCAGAATGGTAGCATATATGGGACCGAAACAAAGAAAAGGAAGGAAAGAGGTATAAGTTTAAAATAATCTGTACCTTTGGTGATTATAAAAGTAATACATCTGGATGTGTATCCCAGCACTCTAAGAGGCTGAGAGAGGAGTCTCCCAAATTCATGCCCCACCTGGGCAACTTAGCAAATGAGCTGAAAATAAAAAACCAAAAAGGGGGTGGGAATGTAGCTCATACCACTAGGAAAAAAAAAAAAAAAGTAACATGTGTTTTAAGTTCAAACAATACAGAAACATAAAAGATAGAAAGTGGAAGTCCCCTAAAGACTATCCTGCAGGAATAAACGTTATACAATTCCACTTTTCTTTCTAAGTGTGCAGATGTGCTTTGGCTCTGAATCCAGTGCCACTACAGATCAGGTCCCTACTGTTGAGGCTGTCAACCCCACCATCTGCTCACTTGGTCTTCAGAGCATTGATAGGAACTCCAGTCAGCGTTCCAGCTCCTCTGGAGCTCCCAGCAGAGAGAAGTACATTCAGGGACATGCAAGCATGATGATTCCCATCCACTGCACTAGATGCTCGGAGTTCTATCTTTCAGTCAAATTGGCCACCAGACACCTGCTCACATGTGCTGTATTTATTGAGGCCAAAGTCAAGAGGTACACGAGACATGGATGATTCACCAACTGCCCTCTGACTGTGGCAGAAATCTCTCCAATGTTGTCACCTCTTTTCTTTCCAGCCTCGATGTAGTCTTTGCAAGGGAGCATACTGTAGACCTAGGACCCGGCAATGGGAATGGGCTCTAAACAGATATCCATTTCCCTTGCTTTGGGCTCCAGCCCTGGGAATTCTGCAACTGTATTTGCTCTCAAAGTTGACCCCGAACTTCTGTTCACATTGCCCTTTTGTGAAGATCTCTGAGTGCAAAATTTATTTGAAAATGAAGCACTGGAAAGTTGTTCTCCCCTATGCTCCAGTCAAAGGAACTGCATGCTCTGTTAGTCATCATTGCCCTTTTCCTCTTGCTGCCAGGAGGCTCTGAATCAGGCTGCAAAGCTCAGTGATAGCAGCCATACAAAGCCTTATGATTGCCCTGTTTGCAAGCTCCTTTTGGCTCATCCAGAGCTTTTGTTTCCATCTTTGGTGTCTTTGGTTGTGTATCAAAGAGACAAATATATAAATAAGTAAAATTTAAAACCATCCATCCAATCTGATATCTTATCAATACCAGCCTCAGTCTGAGAGTGCTTTTTGTTTTGCTTCTTCACCCAAGAAGAAGTTTGGCTTCAAATAATGTCATTGGAGCTTGACAAAGGAAATAGAACTGGGAACTGCAATTAGAATGTATGAGGTCTTGATTTCCAGCCTTTGGGACTCCTGTGGTCCCATTTTATAGATAATTGTGGGCAGGCTCAGTTTTCCTCAGCCACCACTGAGTGTGAATGACAGTCACTCCTAAGTCCTTCTCTGTCCACTCTGGCTTGTGATCTTGAGCAATATTTTTCATTGGGAAAATGCTTCCGCGCTTCTCGGGCATTGCAGATGCTGCCGGTGAGCGCATTTAATTTCGACTTTGCGTTTAGCAATCAGAATCTCGCTGTGACTTGGGAAACGCAGGAAATCTCTCAATGAAGGAACTGTGAGCTACTGTGCCTTCCAGCCTCCACCCTTCCCCCCTCCCCCTCCCGCCCCAATACGGAGAAACAATCTGAATACACAAAATTAGGAAAACATACCCAGAATGGTTGTTTAAAATTCACAGCTGTCAACATCAAGCATTCTGCGTGAGAGAAAGAATGTAAGAAACATCGGGTTAACAAAATAGCCGCAGATGGATCGGGGCGCGGCGAGGACTGGGCGGGCATTGTCCTAGCGCCGCCGCGCGCTGGCTCATCTGCATTCCGGGACAAAGGTTCGCTGTTGGAGACCCTTGCTCTTCCTCCTCCTCCTCCCAAAGGCGCCTCGCCATGGGCAAGGAGGGTAGTCTGCCTCCCTCCTCCCGTCGGAAACCTACAGGAACGAACACAAATCTGTTATTTTAACACAACGTGGGCGCAAAGTGGTGTTTTCACTCCGCGTAAAGCTGGGGGAAGCAGAAGAATAGGGCCTTTTATTTGTAGGAGATACTCAAAGGAAGTAGGATTGAACCGTAGGCCAGCGTATATGAATAAAGTTGTTAGAGAATTTGCAGCCTGTGGCCTGGGAGCTCCACTGTAAGTTCCCCAACTGTCAGCTTGGAGCACTTTGCATCAGAATGCATAATTGCATCTGTTAATTACATTTTCAGCCTGGTCCTCCAACGTGCAATCAATTCACGCTCCCCTCCCCCCACTCTTCATGCTGCCTGGGAGAGGAGACTTTTTTTTCAATTTAATAAACATGATTGACAACAGAAAATGTAGATTTACATTCTTCCTATTATGACTGTATATTGAGCCTAAAATGCACACATGTACTTTGCCAATGATTATGAGGCAGCCCGTTAGCAATCACATTCATTCTGCAACTTGTAAGGGCCCCATTTTATGACTCTTGTAAGAAGTGTCTTGAAAGTAACACAAAGAAATATTTAAAACACACAGAGGCTAAAGACATTTTAAGCACCGTATCTAAAGCAAAGTGCCACAGCAGAAATGGCATCAGAATGGCCACAGCGAGCCTCTGACACCAGGACTTGGAGCTCTGCGGCAGCCGTCCGTCGGACACATTAAGTGGAAGGAGCTGGAGATGCCTGTGTTCTAACAGTGCCTTTGAACAGTGAAGCCTTGGAGTTTGCCCCATTGAGCAGCTGCTTCACCCTTAGCCCAAGGTCACAAAAGTTATTGGTGAGAAAACTGGAGTAGCATTCATCCTAGCCTACCTGGAGAAGAGGTTAGTACTGTGGGAGGGAGCCCAGGGTCCCATCTACTTCCCTCCCAGCCTTCCTCATTTCCCATGGTCCCCGAAAAAAGCAGACAGAGTCCTCCTGCTACCATTTGCACTTAGTTTGTTCCCTAAATCTTCCTGTGCTGGACCCTGGGGCAGAGTTGAGGTGCAGAACCTTTAAGAAGAGAGGCCTAGTGGAAAGTAATGGGGTCCTGGGGACTCCCTCCCACATGAAGAGATGAATGTTGGACTCCTGCTGTGGGTATGGGTTGGTATCACAGGAGTGAGTCAGTTCTTGAGAAAATGGGTTGCTACAAAGCAAGGGTACCCCATACGCTCAGCCCCTGCTGCGTGAGGCTGGTTCCCTTTCTGCCTCTCTACCATGTTACAATGCAACCAGGGGACCTTTACCAGGATGCTGTTCCTGGGCCACTTGAGCTCCCCAGCCGCTAAAACTATGAGCCAATTAGAACTCTTTTCTTGACATGCTACCTGGCATCAGGTATTTGGTTATAGCAACACAAAATGGACCCAGGCACCATCTTTCCCTTGTGTCTGAGGAAGGCAAAGCACAGGAAAGAGGACTTTAACTGAAACTGCTGAGAACCCCAGAGGATGATATGATCTCTGAGGGCATGGCATGAGGCGCCACGAGTCTGGGGATGATGACTGTCAAGCCCTGCTCTGGACAGTGGCCCTGTGATGTCACTGAGAGCTTTGACCCAGCTCTTTAAATCAAGGACTCCTTCAGAGGCTCCCTGCTGCTGTTGTTTTTAATGACCCTAATCCCAGGTTCCAGGAGCAAGATAAATAATTGTTCTGTTTTAATCACCAGAGAAACCCTCGTGTTTCAGGAGAGGTAGGGCAGGGAGTAAATCTTACGGAGCATACATGCTCTCCTGGTCTCCCTGGGGCTCTGATTTTCAGACTTCAACTTATATTGTGGTTCTGAGAGGAGAATGAGAATCTATATTAGTTAACTTTCTATTGCTGTAACAAAATACCAGAGGCAATCACTTATAAAGAGACAAGGTTTATTTGGTGTCACTCTTTTGGAGGTTTCAGCCCATGCTTTTGGGCCTGTGGTGAGGCAGCACCACAGAGCAGGAGCATATGGCAGAGCAAAGTCATTTACACCATGAGCCATGGAGCAAGGAGAGTGAGAAAACAGCTAGAGTTCCACAGTCTCCCTCAGGGACACACCCTTTGAGATCCGAGTACCTTCCTCTGGTGGCAGAGGGCCTCTTAGAGGACCAGCCCGCCACCAAGCTTGAGGATCAAGACTTTAACAGATGGGGCTTGGGGGACATTCAGTATCCAAAGTTAGGCCATGGGAAGAAGGGGAGTCTTGGGGCCCTAAGCCAGCACTCACCTCTGACAGCTGCTGGGGACACATTGCAGCCCTAGTGTCCTGTGCTCCTACATCTGGATCCCAGCAAGGAGTGAGAGGAGATAATCATGTGAAAGAGCTTTATTAACTCTAGCCTGTTTCACTGTTGATCAGTGGCACTGTGCCTCTCCTGCCAAGATGCCTTTTGGTTGGACTTTTATTTTGTTTTGTTTTTCAACTGTTAACAAATATTTATTGAGAACTTACCTCTGACCAGGCACTTGAAAATTAGAGACCAAATCACGTCACTCTGTTGCTTGGAGCATATCGAGATTCCCCTATCACATTTAGAATAACGCTCGAAGCCCTTCCTGTGGCCTACACAGCTGGGTACAATGGGACCCTTATGTCTTTTCCTTCTTATTTCCTTCCATCTCCACTTGTCCCTTGGCTCTGGCTGACCTCAGTGCTTCTCAACCCTGTCAACTTCCTTGTCACTTCAGGGCCTTTAGACATGTTCTTGCACAGCCCGGAAAACACAGTGTCTTTGATTCCATACAGGTCTCTGTTCTAATGTCTTTTCCTTAGAGTCCCCTGTGACCACACTCTCCCCAAAGTGTCCTTCTGTCACCTTCCCTTCCTTCCTCTGCTTTAAGGCTTTTCCTGGCTCTCATTAGAACCAGAAATTATTAGAAATGTGTGTGTGTGTGTGTGTGTTCATTGCTGCCTCCCCACCAGAACACATGCTTGGTAAGGTATATCGTGTCCATGGCTGCATGCCCAACACCTAGACTAGTGTCTGACACCTAATAGGTGCTCAGTGAATAGTTGTGGGATGAATGCAAAGCATGAGGATGCAAAGAAGAGAAGAAATCAAGGGACTGACAGTCTGGTCCTATATCTGATGGGATTTGGCTCAGAAGGGATCCAGAATAATTAATATTGCAACTGTTGCTTTGCCATTTAGTGTGAAAGACTTGGACACTGCTATTTCATTATCATAAGAAGCCTTGTCCAGGATGAAGATCTGGTTTGGAGAGCTTTGTTTGGGCCAGGAGCATTGGCATGAGACCTATGAGGACCAGGGTTCATAGAGATAGAGACTTCCAGGGACACACACTGGGAGAGCTGCCCAGCTCCCAGGGTCTTGCCCCATGGCTAGACCTGTGTTACCTGGCCTCTTTCCTACCTTCAACCTGTATGTGGGCCAAATGAGCCCCATGGTGCCTGCTCTCTAATTGGGGGAGAGTGATCACCTCACCCAAGCTGAGCCAATCACATTGTCCCAACTTTAGTCCAAAGGTAGCCAGCAACCTTAAGCAGTCCAGTCAGGGTCCTCCTCCAGGGATTTTCCAACTGGAACTAGAGTGAATACTGTTTACGTTTCTAGTCACAAAGCTGTGAGGAAATGAGGAAGCTTACTGGCTAGGAAAGCCTCACAGCTTGCTGGCCAGGAATAGCCAGTAAGGAAGGTTCTAACTTCATGGCAACAGCCACAGGCCAAGAGATGCCAAGACAACACTTAGTGATGGAGACAGAGAGATAAAGAGAGACTTTCCAGGCAGTCACCACATTCCTTTCCTTGCTTGTCCTTGTGAGCCACTAAATCCCCTTTCAGCCTAAAGTAGCTCAACTGGGTTTGTTTTATCAACCAAAAGCTTTATTTAAACTAGTTATCTAATTGTTATAAAGTAAATACATAAATTTAATTTAGAAATTCAAACAGTTCAAGAGATTAAAAATGAAAAGTGGTCATCCCTCTGCCCCACTCCCTTCTCCCCCGCCCCTGCTCCTCAGTCTCATTCTCAGAGGTAACCCGCAACCACTTGTTAAACTTATTATCCTCCCAACTGTCATCTGACAACTTCTGGCAAGCATTCTGAAAAGCAGCAGAAAATCCTTTGTAATTTTGATTTATCTGATCGTAATATATATTACTCTTGTAGATTTTCAAACAATGGGTTATTCAACCATTTATTTCAGTCAGCTTTGTCTGCATTAGTAAATGTTTTGACATTAGCCATTTATTTCAGAGATGAATGATTCATTTGGGTATTTCTCAACAACATAAAATAATACTGTGAGTGAAGGCATGGCTGGTTTTTGGCAGGGCCTGACTTAGTCATCTGCACATTCTTCATCCTGCTCTGTGTGCTGTGCACAGAGTAGGGGCACAGTGTGTGTTGGAATGGATGAAGAATTTAGTGAAAAGAAGCCTAGGGCAAAAGGGGAAAGAAGAAAGCTTTGTTGAGCTTTATTCACAGAACCTTAAACTCAGCATGCTTTATCTGTGTAGCCTTTGCTGTACCTCTGAGCAGCTCTCATTCTTACCCCTTCTCCATCTAGTTCTTCAGCTTTTCATTTTGTGATGTGCCTGCCCCCCGACACGGTTCTCTCTACCGGATTCATTTTGCATAGGTGAGTCTATCTTGGTTCTTGTTACTTATAATCAAGAAGTCTGACAGAGAAATCAGCATATCAAAAGTAGGGCAAATGGATGGAGCGGGAAAAAGACAGATATAACCCACTTACAAATGGGGCCGATGAAGGCACAGCTCCAATAAGTACTTTGCTTCAGGCCACAGAACTGAGAAGTGGCCAAACAGGAATTAAGTCAGGTCTGTCAAGGTACAAATTTTGGCCTGTTCCAACCTTCTGCAGCCAGATGCCAAGAATCTGGCACAGGAAAAAATTGTTTCTAGAGGTCAAAGAAAGCATGACCAAACCTGTGTGGCTGTCCCCAAGAAGTTGGTCTGTAGTGTATTCTACAGAAGATGACTTTCTCTGGAAGTCTATAGGTTTTATCCAGAATTTTCTGGATCCCTTGCTAATGAGCTGATGTGTCCTAGACACTGAGAAAAAAAGTACACAGAAGAGATAAGTCATGAAAGAACAAGCACTATTCTCTTATTTGTCTTTCTTCTGTCTACTTGCTTCACTAAGGTCTCATTTCCCTTCTTTTGCCATTACCAAGTAGAGAAAACAAAAGCCTCATTCCCTGATGCATAATGATCATTTGTTTGTTTTTAGTAAAATATTTATTTCACATAATATTACATAGTGATCAAAAGTATAGGCTCAGGAGCCAGATTGCCTGGGTTTGAATACCAGCTCTGCCACTGGTTGTGTGATCTTCTTGTATGGGATGAGTTACTTACCATCTCTGCTTCTTTCTTCATTGGTGAAATAAGTATAATAAAACTACCTCTTGGCATTGTTATAATGATGAAAAAGTTAGCATAGGTAAAACACTTAGACTAGGACCTGGCACATGGTAGCTACATATTTTCTATTACTGTTATTCCTCAATTTATTATTTTAACTTTGTGTGTTTGTGGTGTCAGACAGTGAACCTGGGGCCTTATCCCTACCACTGAGCTACACCCCCAGCCTTATTATTTTAATTGTTTAAAAAATATTCATTGGGAATGTGAGCAGATGAAATGAGTTTTAAATGCTGCAAATATATGGATTTTGCAGTTGAGAGGAGTGGTTCACTCTGCGACTAGGGGATAGGTCTAGTAACAAATGCTGGGTAGCAATAAGAGTATAAATAGAATCCTGTTTCATGGATATTCTAATTATTCTTTCCTCTTTGACACAACTCTGTGTTTAGCTGCATAGCATTAAGCAATACTTAGGAAGTTCAGGAAAGGGCAATTTAGAAAGCTCAGACCCAGTGATCTCAAAGTCGTGATGTATGGTTCAGTGAGAGTATAAGTAGGTCAAATACCTCTAACATTGAATTAGCTGAAATTATGCAAGCTATTATATTGGATATTACTATTTGAACATTTTGTACAAACTGCAGTAATACACACTCATCTTTATGGGATGAGTCCAGACTTAAAACTAATTCTGGCGAATTAAGAATTGTATTTTCCAGGAATTAACTACCACAATTTGACTGCAGCTGTAAAAATTTTATTAGGCAATACATCCGACCTCAAATTGGAAATTTGTGTTGGAACCAGTTTAGGAAATAATTATTGCTGTGTTGTTAATTTTATATTTGCCTAATAAAACACAGCAGGAACACGGTTTGGTGCATGTAACAAAAGAAAGCCCGTGGATGTGCTTTAAATGAGTGTTTTTGACCAAGCTGGAACTAGGAATGTGTTTCTCTGATGAACACTGTAGCTGCTGACATTGCAGAATTAAAAGTTTATAGTTACTGCACTGTGGAAGAGAAACATGCTGATGCTGTTTATATCATTCTCACCAGCCAGTACCAAGTATCTCTGTGTGCACATCTTCAGTGGTTTGTTTTGGGAAAGTTTAACTTCCCACCTATTTACATGCTCACAGGCACATGCATGTCTGCACATACACACGTTGATATGGACGCTCTTGGCCCTACTGACTTGTTCCTGCCTGTCCAGTTGGCACCTTGAAGGGTACCACTAGGGAAAGGCCAACTTCTCTTGGAAGCAAAAAAGCACATGTCTTTGTTGTATTGCATCACAGAAGTATATAAGTGGATATTTATGCTTCCCTCTGCTTGTTTCATCTTCTAGTCTCTTCTAGTTTCATCTAGAATCTTCTTTTATTTTCCAGTTTCATCTTGAAGACATAACTTGGAGTCTATAAAGTAAGTCAGTAGCTTGCTATTGGTTGCTAGGGGTCAATGATATCCAAAAGCCAGAAGACAAATTGCCTATGGGAGGGGATATCAAACAACAGAGATTCACAGCCCTGGGAAGTCTCAGTTTAGAAATAGGGTGTTGTTACAACATTTATCACTCTTACTCATTTCCATTTTTACCACAAAATGGGCAGAACTTGGGTTCAGAGCCTTGAGAGGCAGTAATAGCTAGTTAGAGTTTAACGATATTGAGGATTTTCCCTGGCCTTTTTTTTTCTCTTTTCGTTAATGGTTGCATTCAATTTAAGGTTTTTCATTTAGTATAGGGATGGACTGTCTGCTTTAAACATAATTAAACATGAAATAAGGTGAAGAAAAAGTATTTGTTGATAATAAATGATCCTCAGACAAGGCAAAATCAAGAAGATTCTTCTAAGAGGCAGGGCTGTGAAAGAAGTCCGTGAAGAGATTGGTTACAAAGATGTGGGATTGTGGAGTAAACAAAGACAAAGCACACTTGAGAACTAGTGACAGTAGGAA